TCGCGTCCCCTTCCGAGCCCAGCCACGCCCACCCCTCAGCAGGTCCTCTAACCGCGGTGCCCCGTAACCATGGCAGCAGTCCATGCGCACCTTGCTGAACAGCGGGCCGCCGCTCTGCTGTCAGGCCTATTTTTAGTGCTGCTCCTCTCCCTTCGCTCCAGATGACGAGTCCACCGGGGGGCGCTGGCTCCCGTATGCCCGTGTGCCTCCCAACCCACCGTCAGGTGCGGAGATGGGCCTCACGCCCCCCAGGCAGGGCGTGGTTGTAGCAGTCATGTGACTAGGACGGTGGTGGAATTCCTCACTGGCCACATGACTTTGTGTCTGTGGCCAACTGACTTTTTTTCCCGAAATTTAGGAATTCTGGTTCTTCTCGGTTATGACTTGAGTTATCAGACCAAGCTGAAGGTGACATTGAAATCGCCGTTTGTTTGCGTAACTGTGGTCTTACTGCCGATAAAGGAAGGTTAGTCTACAGTAAGACTGGGAGGGTGGTCCCCCTTGATTCCTCAGAAGATGCCTTTTTAAGTAGTTTACAACTGAAGCAGTTGACATAGCATAAATACTACAAGGCTTTATAAATCTATCAAAGGTCCAACAGAAGACACCTTCCCTGAGCCTTCATCCTGCAGCCTTTTGGTCATTGATGCCAGCTGTCAGGTGCAGTATGTGCCTGTGATCTTTCACCCTGCTCGAGAATGAGGGCGACCCCCACTCCTAACCGGTCCTGCCATTCCGCCACTGCCCAGTAGGGGGTGCTGCAACCTGCCTGGCACTCCCAGAATGCCTTGGTCTTTAATTCTGTTACCGGAGCATATGCTTCCATGGTGGCTGTGAACACTGTTTACAGCAGTTCGTTTGTACGCTTAGGGCTTTGTAATGGCTCTTTCTGAGTAATGGAGTGTGATAATTCAGTCAGTTGTGAAGTTTTTTTTTTGTGTAAGACTGTCACACTTCTACATTTCTTCACACGTATTCTCCCCTGCAGTGTACATTTCGCATCACCTGAAGATCTCCTCTGTCTGCGACTCAATTCCCAGGATCATGCAGCTACTGGATTCCTGCTCTTTGTTTTGGTCTTGGTCCGTAGACTCTGCAGCAATCTCCGAGCAGACCTGCGCAGCGCATGTGTCTCGCCTCTCTGTTTGCTGGCCAGAACCAGGTCGGAACCCGACCGGGCCGCCAGAGTAGAGCAGCTGCTCTGCACTTCCCAGCCCAGCCTGGCAGTGGTGTGCCTGTGGGCTCGCTGTCCTTCCCTCTGCGTGGGAGTGGACAATGGCGTCCACAGCGGTCACATCTGCGTGGTACGGAGTGCAGGACAGCTGCTCCGCCCCTGATCCGTGAAGGGCTGCTTTTCCTGATGAGTGCTGCTGATTCTGGCCATTTTGGCCATCCGGCACGCTGGACTGGTACCACTCTGGGTATCAGCAGAACTCCCCTAACCCCCTCCTCTCAGCTCTGTAGGTGTGAACCACATGAATCCGGAACATTCCAGATGCCGCTCCTCACGCCTACTTTGTCCCAAAAGTCTCAGATCCAGTTTTTTCATTTTGGTTTCAGGAAGGTGTCCTTTTCTTAAATATTAGCACCTCGTGATGAGCATCAAGTGTCATGGGTCTGATGGTCTGGCGGTCATGTTGAAATGAAGCTGTTTTTGCGTGTTTACGCACCGACATGCGTGTGTGGCGACATGCGTGTGTGTGCACCAACGTGCGGGTATGCAAACATGCATGTCAGAAAGAATCAGTGGATTCTTCCAGGTGCCAGAGGCTTTACTATCCCTCTGAAGCATAACAACATCTAGATATGTATGTATAACTTCACAGTCAGCTGTCTGCCTTTCTGCCCCTTTTTCTGTCTTCCTGTCTACCTACCTGTTTTCCTGCCCGCCTGCCTGTCTTGCAGCCCGTCTTCCTGTCTGCCTTTCTGCCCCTTTTCCTGTCTGCCTGTCTGTGTCTGTCTGCCAGCCTCTCTGTCTGTCCAAACAGGTGTCAGTTTTTCACAACTTTGGTGTGTGGAAGCCGCATGATGTTTTATGCCCACACACACAAAAGAAAGCGAGGTCATCTACGGTTTAGTGAAGCTCGCCAGAGGATCCTACGTCCATCTCGGCTGAGATCGCTGGCTCCTAATCTGTGGTGATCATTCTCTCTGATGCGACGTCTTACTGCAGGTCACCCCCGTCTTCTTCCTCTGCTCCATCCTTCCCCTCCTTAAATAATTCATGGTGATGAATATTTCACGCAGCTCGACCTCACCTCCGGGAAACTTAATGGCAGTTGGCACTCCATGTCATGTCATTGTGCTGCACATCTGTCTTGCTCGTTGCAGTACGACTGGAGATCGGCCCCTGGCTCTGTCGTGAAGGGAAGCCTCATCGTAAGGGATACCTTGTACATGACGAGGGCTTTGATCCCACAAATACGGCACAGATTCTTGGGATTCGCATCCTTTTTGGAGCCATCAGATCCAACACGGAAGTGTGCGGACAAGCTGAAGTGTAAGGCTTGTGTCTTTGCCGTCACCTTCCAGGGGCACCGTGGATCAGTGGGCCGTGCTGTTACCTCACACCTCCGAGGTCGAGGGTTTGATGCCCATTGGCTTGGGACTAGACCTGTGATGTAGGTGAACTGAGGTCCCTGAATCGCTTGGGTTCGTATCCCAGTTGTGATGGGCTCACATCCCGGTTCTGATGGGCTCGCATCCTGCCCAGGGCATTACCTGCCTTCTGCTTTCTGGCATAGGATAAGCAGAAGGATGGATGGATAGATGTTGTCTTGCCCTTGTGTTGTATTTCTTTCACTTGAACGTTTCCTCAGCCTCCCCCTCCCTTTACTTTACTGTGATCCTGAGGAATGATCATTAATTTAAACATCTCGGATGAGCAGGAATGGGAACAAGTCAAGTCTATAGTCAAAACATTGCAGTCTGAATCAAGTATTGAGTCCTTTGCCCTTAAGTCTAAATCAATTCCAAGTCTTTCCATCATTTCTTGCTACCAAGTCACAAGTCATCAAATTTGCGACTCAAGGCTAATTCGAGTTGTGAGTCACGGAACTTGAGTTCCTACCTATGTCAGTTTTATTTTCTTTATTTTTTTCTTGAACAATTAAAGCTTGCTGCAGCAAAACCCCCCACAGTACATTGTAGGATGCGTTCTCTATAGGCAGAAAGAGGTTGAAAAGAGAGTGTCCACTCAGTTATCTTCACACAATTTCTTGTGTCTGTGTATATGCTGGGAGCGATACACCCTTTCAACATACTCTCAAGAGACTTTGCATTCAGCTAATTAAAAATGCAGACAGCAGAGAATTAAAATGCACAGAAATAATGAAATTAACATAATGGTATCCAGAGGGGGGCTTCTCAGTCCTCTCAAGTCATATGTTCCAAGTTGGGTCCAAGTCTTTCTATCAGTTTTACAGAGTCATGAGTCATCAAATTTGTGACTTGAGTCCGAGTCAAGTCCCGACCTCTGCGGACGAATCACTGTGACCTAAACAAGCCGCTTGCTATTGTTCCTGCCCCTCACATCCTGCCACATCTTCAATTTTCACTCACTTTAAAGACCCACCCCCCCCACCCCCACCCAAGGGCTCAGCTGGTCCGGGCAGGAGCTCTGCCAAGCTTCAGCTCGTCTGGGAATCCTCATGGTCCCAAGTCTTCAGACATTAAGATGTTGCGAAATGATTAATGAGCAAGCATCGCTGTTTTGCAACGTGTAGCATGTTAGGTGACTTTTACCCCAGCTGTAACTTGCCATATATTTCACGAGAGTGGGGGTGGGGATGGGGGAGGAGGGTTCTTCAAAGCGGGTGAAAGTTGAAGACCATTGTCCCTGTAACGCTAAGAGCCCTTGGAGAAAGGGGTCTCACTGCAGGGCACTTATACAAACTCAAGGTGCATCTAGCTGGGGGCTGAACATGGAGTGTGCAGTAGGAGCCCCCCCTAATCTGCAGGGGGCTCGTGGCCCTGTCCAGCCCCTCCAAGGAGTTAAGCACAGATCTGCATTCTTCCTTCCAAGTGTCAAGATTCAGCTTTGTCACTTCGTTGAGTCTGAAGCATCCGATGGTCTTTCACAGATGGGTAATGTGATTACATTCTGGGCATCCCTGGCACGACCACTAAAACAACCACAATGACCACATGTGGTATTTGCGGGGGAGACAGCAAGTCAGGGCAGCTGGTACGGCTGCACCGATGTGGGTATTTTGGGCGATGCCAGTAACCGATACCTAGATTTTTCTCTAAAATTACCAATACCTGCCCTGCGATAGATTGGCGCCCCGTCATGAGTTATTTCCTGCCTTGCACCTGCACCTTCCAGGATACGCTCCAGACCCCGCGACCTTGTATAGGACAAGCGGTATGATGGATGGATGGATGGGGTGGGTCAGTGGATTTAATGATACCAATAACTGGCTAACCTCTGAGGTTCTAAGTGCTGAAGGAGCCGACGATATCTCTCATCCCGCAGTATGGAAAATGGCTGATAGTCCAATGCAGTCATTTCCATTATTTTAGTTGTTATGACTTTAGCTCTGGTGCGGCTGTCTTTGAATATTAACTAAAGTCTAAATATTGGCCAAGATTGGCAGATAATGATGTCTTGGTTGTTGACTAACATCAGCCGATACCGATATGTTAAGCGCCAGGGGTGGGCAATCTTACCTGCAAAGGGCCAGCACGTGTGTACGTTTTTGGGAACCTTTAGGTCTGCTGTTCAAACCCAGGTGTGAGGACTCTTCAGCCAATCAATCCTCTAATTAGTAATCTAATTAGGGAGTTGCAGTGAAACCCTCATACACAAGGGCCCTTTCTAGATAAGATTGCCCACCCCTGGTTAAGCGATATATTGTGCATCTGTAGTAGCATCCGTGACAGGGCAGTTACTCACACAGACGTGAATGCTGTCCAGTTCCTGGATGGTCGTGCCATTGTATGGTTTCTCATATAAGATTTGCTTCTAAATGGTTTATGTGTTTGTGTGTCACCCCCAGGTATGAGAAGGTGCCGGTGATCCTGGTGGGGAACAAGGTGGACCTGGAGAGCGAGCGGGAGGTTTCCTCGGGGGAGGGCCAGGCGCTGGCTGAGGAGTGGGGCTGCCCCTTCATGGAGACGTCAGCCAAGAGCAAGACCATGGTGGACGAACTGTTTGCTGAGATCGTGCGACAGATGGACTACGCCGCCCAGCCGGACAAGGACGACCCCTGCTGCTCCTCTTGTAGTATACAGTAGCAGCCGGACTCGTGGCGCTTGGGACACCAACATAGAGAGACCCCACCTCGAGCAGGTCAAACAAAAAGACGAAAAACCACACACACCAACACACCGGACAGATACCAGAGCGACCGGACACATATTTACAGGAGAACAGGAAGCAAATGGTCAATCAAGATGTCCGTGAACTTTTTTGACACGTATAGCCAGTCGTAAACTGTGATTTGATATGGATGACGTTCGTAAACAGCTGGGGGGGAGTATGTGAATAAGGGCGGAGCTGGGATGGAGAGCAGAGGTGAAGGGCAGCTTGGATTGCAGGGAAACCATCCACCTCAAACCCAAATGGGACAGCTGTTTTGTGGCCCTCATCCGTTGGTTCAGCCCTTGTCGCTGGCTTATCTTTTTCTTGCCCGTGTTTATGATGAGCCGGATTCTGACGTCACCTCCAGCGGGACCCAGACGCTCAGCCGATCTGCTTCCCTTAAAACTTTGATGAGTAATTGATTTTTGTGCCTGGTTTCCCTGCAAGACGGTGGCCGAATCTCGATTCATGGGTTTTTATTTCTTGTTTGGTTTTCTGTGCACCGTTTACCGATTGAGCCACAGAGGGTAGCAGAGAGACCACTCTGTTTCTCCTCCCGTTGTAGTGTTTTGATGTTTAGGGATGACAGAGAGGGCCTTTTCTCTCGTATTAAAGTTCGACGTTGCCGTTCCTGGTGCCTCATCTTAACCGGGAGGTTAGCAAGGCCGCCGTGCGCCCGTCGTGATGTGGGCATCTTCACCAGGTATGGTAAGGTTCCCATCTTCCTCCCGGCATTGTACGGAAGGTTCCAGAACTCCTGCCATAATACACTCATCTCCGTTTGTTTTTGACACACGTCAGGGGGGTGGGGCAGGTCTTCTATGAAGTGTTGTCCACACGAGCCACATGGATCATTATGTATTCTGACTTAATCAAATCAATAGTAATAATAGTTTATGATAATGATATTAACAGTAATGAGATTAAGCCTAGCTGCACATACATGTAAATGACGTGATACAGCTCTCCAGAGGACAGGCACGTCACGCCAGAGGAACCTGTCAGCCATTTGCATGTCTAGTTAAAAGAACAAATGGACGTTTTTTTTCAGTCAGTCATCGCGTGTGAGCGGAGCGCTATCATCCTGAATGTGACCTCAGGACTCGGACACCGTTTGAACTGTACATCCATGTTGCTGTGGGCGGGGGGATGGCTGTAGGGGAGGGGGGCCTTGTTACCATTTTCATTGTTGATTTTATATTTTTTTATGTGACATTAACTCTCTTACTTCCCTTTTTCCTAAATGAATGGTGACACTGTTTTTTGTTTGGCACCTGAACAATAAAGATGTCTTAAAAAAAATAAAATAAAATAAAAAATCTATTTTCTTGGAAAGACATTTGCCAAAAAAAAAAATCCCCCCACTGCAGGAATTCGGGAATTCCAGCAAATCTTGAGTGTTTCATTTTTGATGCTTGTAAACACGGTGAATGCAGTGAGGTTCTGTAACATCCCCCAGTGCGGCTGGTTCCATATAGCCTGAAGATAAGTCCTGCTCTTATCTGTCTTATCTGTTTGGTGTGGAACCGAATTAGGTTCCTGGGGGGCTTCAGCCTTCAGCAGCTCACATCCTGGACCATGGGCTCCGCCCGCAACAGATGCATTTGAAGTCCTGGCTTTGTAAACAGATCCTTGTTCCGTGAGTAAGCAGAGGTTCTGCAGAACTTCACAGAGCCTTTTGAAGTTTTAAGCCAGGTGTCCATGCCCCCCCCCCCCCCCATGAAATCGAAGGACACAGTCGACTTCTGTTTTTTTTCCAGACATTCGGGGGCAGCTCTCTGCACAACCTGAAAGTGCTCGAAGCGGAGCACAGACGAATGTCACTCCCGTCAAGATCAGAGCTTAGAAAAAAGAAGAAAAAAAAAACGAGCCGTGGGTCTGTAAGAGCGTAATGATGGTGATCAAACGGGCGCGGTAAAGCCTTCGAGCTGTGCCCCTGTCGGATTTGGGCTCTCAAAGACACGCCAGGAATGTTCCAGAGACACTCGTTGGCGTGTCTCAGGAGACCCGGGGTGTTTTCTGACGCGTTAGCCGTGCCCTCCTTTACTCAGGGACTTTATGGGACCTCAGATGTCACTTCCAGAGACTCTTCAATGACGGCAAAGCATTTGCCCTGTTGTTCGTTGATGCTTATTATATGTTGACGTGATATAATTGCTTTAAAGGGGATCCGTCTTTCCGATGAGGCCGGGCTCTGCTCTTTTGTCATGTTTTCCAAGCAGGGTCTGAATCAGTCACGTTTTCTGGAGCCCTTTGTGTTCGGATCTTATTTTCTGCAAGCTAACGCTTTGAAGGCTATTTTCCCCTCCTGCAATCAGCAGTTCCCCTCTGCGTAAAGGCCCCCAAACAGCAGCCAGCTGAGCGACCCCCTGCCGTCTATGCTAATCTCCTTTAGCGCAGGAGCCTCGTGGCTTTAATGAAAGTTTATTTTTCTCTTCTTGACTGTGCTTGTTTTCTTTGAGTGACTGTTTTGTTGTTTGGCATCTCGCAGCCTGTGGCGCTGTGTTTACCTCGCCTCTGTCCCCACCGATTTCGTATGAAAGGCCGCAGACGCGCGGGCCGTTTTCACATTAATCTCCTGAAGGGCAAAGTGTGGGCTTGTTTGTCTTGCCTTAAAGCTACGGAATCGAAGTTGGGGTGAGTGGAGTTAAAAAAAAAAAAAATGCACCGCAGAGGAGGGCTTCAGTAACACGACTGTTTTAAACATTCTCTGATTTGACAGGATTCACTGGCCTCTGGAGGCCACTGTCTGTTCTGTGGTGAGAAATGACGAATTATTCTCAACAGGCAGTGTAATGTAAATGCAGTCTATGAACTGTGGATAAGAGGACTGGTTAATTAATAAGGGTTTTGTTTTGAATAGTTTTTTCGTATTTTGTTTTGTATGAATTATGAATGCATTGAAGAATGCCCTAACCCAACCCTGGTAGTTCTAGATGGTTCTAAATTGGGCTTGACTCGTGCAGTTGTATCTTCACGTTCCCAGCTGGAAAAGCCTTGTTTTGGGTAATTTGCACAAATTGCATCCATAAATATGCATTTGTGTGAAACGGTAACGGGCGCATTATGAAATCTGATGCGCGTCGCAAAACTACGTCTGCGAGGAGGATGATTAAATGGTAGTAAACTGCAGAGGGCCGGTGCTGCCCCACCTTAACGGCTGAAGGTTACTGTCATAGACAATTTTTTTTTCTATATTATTTCAGCTGAACAAGCAAGAACATGACGGTTTAAACTAATCGGCACAAATTTAAACAGGGCCTCTCTTCCTAAACAGGTTGTTAATTTTTTAAAAGTAGTTTGGGGCCCCAGCCACACTGCCGCCCTACAGGACAGTGTGCTGAAATTCCCCCTCGGACTCCCCTTCAGTGCTGTGTTCACCTGCTTTTTGGTGCGAAACACCCCAGCGTAACAGAAGCTATTCACAGGTCATACCATTACCTCAATTGGGCCTCCGCCGGCGCCCAGTCAGGGCGGGGGACCGAGACTGAGACCGAGGGCCTCCTCCCAGTGGAAGCTGCAGGTCAGTGAAATGTCACCGAGCAGAGGCTCTGCTCCTCTGAGGTTCGGGGGAGGGGAGATGGGGGAGGTGGGCTGCCTGCTTCTGATTGACCATCTGATGATGATGGTGATGATGGTAGTGATGATGAAGGTGATGGTGGTGTTGGTGATGAAGGTGATGGTGATGGTGGTGTTGATGGTAATGGTGGTGTTGATGGTAATGGTGAGGGTTTTGTTGACGGTGGTGATGTGATGATTCTTTGTTTTGTATGTCACCCTTAGTTTCTTGTCGGACTCTTTCCTGGGTGAACGTGTGTTTGTAGTTCCGGTCCATCACTGGCAGCTTATCCCACTCGCACCCAGACTGCCTGATGTGTGTTACATGCATCGCTTCTGTGGTGCAAAGGGGCCCTACAAGTGCCGGTCTGCTTTCGAAAATCATAGTAAAATCAGTGTAAATCTAAGAAACACATCGAAACCCACCCTATAATTAAGATTTCAGTATCTAGTATATTTTGTAACTAATTACTGGAAAAAAGTAAGCTTTTTGGGCTCTCTTCCCGTGAGACCGGATGTTGTGGTTAAAGGGAGCCCAACCCTGGCCTCCCCGATCCGCTTTGATGTAGCTCCCGTCACCGGTACGGTAGGGGTCCTCGTGTACCCCAGGGTGTGGGGTCCGAGCTGGCTTCTCTTCGAGGTGGTGCTGCTTTTCATCCTCCGCGTTCCGGCCGGGCTGCTCTCTCCCAGCTCAGCATTCCTTTGATCTGCCATGATTATATCACACCGTGAAAGTGACGCGGAAGGAAAAGCATTAGCTAAGCATCTGATGTATTCTCAAGTTCTTATAAAGTCAGTCTGTTTAAAAGAAAACAGGTAAGCAAAAGAGGCAGCAAACCGATTTCCCATCTTTTTAAATGTATTTTTTTTTTTAAAAACATTATTTGATTTAATTTACATCAGTATATTTTAATTTTACTTAGTAACTATCGACTGAGTAAATTAATATGTCAATGAAAATAATATGCCAGCATTAATTGGTCTGTGCTGCAGTAAGCTATGGGAAGATTTAAGTAAGAGTACAAAACACTGACTATGTTGATGTGTTTTCCCGCCTTTTGCCCCGGTGCATGCTGGGATAGACTCCAGGCTCACCATAATCCTGTACTGAATTAAGTCTGTGTAGATGGATGACTTGCATCCGACAGGCTGATCGAGCCTAATTCACTGAGAGCTGAATTAGAATGAAAGGCGATCGTTAGGAGAGTGATGCGGTGACACATCTGCCCGTGGGTGACACGTGCCGAGGCCTGTACACTAGAAGGCCTGCTGTGTGGCCAGCCCTTCGCAGCTCGAACCGGCCCCCCACGGGGGTCGAGCCAGGCGTGAGGTCTTGCGACAATCTCTGGCCTCTGTCCCCTAACCCTTGTATCTTGATCTGAGCTCTGTGTGTGGGGTCACACTCTGGCTTGTTAATACCCTCATCTTCCTATGATTATCAATCACCCCATCACCACAAAACTCACGCGCATTCCTCCGCAGACAATTGCAGGGCTGCTAAAGACCCCCAGTACTTCCTGAACTGATGGCAGGAGAAATATACTCGGGAACAATGTGGCCTCATCGGGCCTCTTCAAAATGGGGGCTGTTCTTTTTAAATTCTGTTTATTTTATTTTTTTTGAGAGGTATTAATGCTTGTTAGAGTCGAGGGACCAGCTGGTGAGTGGAATGCCTTAATGGAGTAGCGCATGAACCTGGCGACGCCGATCTCCACTCGTGCCGTGTCAGGACAGAGTACTGCTTCCCCACTCGGTGTGAGCTGGTAGCTCCTCCACACAAGGCTCAGAAATCGCCGAATGTGTTGTATAGATCACTGCCCAAACGCATTCTGATAGCTATGGGTAAGCGTTCGCCTGCTCTAGTGCTGTGTCATGCCAGCGAGATCCAGCTCCCGTCAGGATACTCGGGCGCATTCAAACGGCAACATGCTGAAGTGCTTCAGTCTAAAGTGCTTCAGTCCAAGTACCCAATTAAGGTGGAACGCTCCCAGGAAGCCCTCTGAGAAGCCGGCAATTATGGCCATTTATACAGCTGGATAATTTAGTGGAGTGACTCCGGGTTAACTGTGCTGCTCAAGGGACTCGGCATGGGGCCGGGCCTGGTACTGGACTGGCAGGCCCTAAGGGCCCGGTACTGGACTGGCAGGCTCCAAGGGCCCGGTACTGGACTGGCAGGCTCCAAGGGCCCGGTACTGTACTGGCAGGCTCCAAGGGCCCCGGCATGGGGCCAGGCCCGGCATTGGACTGGCATGATCTTAGGGCCCGGTAATGGACTGCAAGGTCCTAAGGGTCCGGTATTGGACTGGCAGGCTCCAAGGGCCCCGGCGTGGGGCTAGGCCCGGCATTGGACTGGCATGATCTAAGGGCCCGGTATTGGACTGGCAGGCTCCAAGGGCCCGGTATTGGACTGGCAGGCTCCAAGGGCCCGGTACTGGACTGGCAGGCTCCAAGGGCCCCGGCATGGGGCCAGGCCCAGCATTGGACTGGCATGATCTAAGGGCCCGGTATTGGACTAGCATGCCCTAAGGGCCCCAGCGCAGGACCGGGCCTGGTATTGGACTGCCTGGTTATAGGTTACAAGTTCCCAGTTTAACCTGTCATTACCAGCCAGCTGCCCCATAGGGCCTGTCACTATGGATACGAGTCATTCCATCATTCCAGAAGCTGGTGCAACTTAGCAGGGGGTCTGGTGGTGTGACATTGAAAGTGTTTCATCAGTTGATGTAGCAACTATTGTTTTTTGGTATGTTTTTTA